ACACGTATGAGTATGCGTGTACACGTATGAGTGTGAGTGTACACGTGTGATGGTGAAGTACATTCGATTCGTTGACGCATAAGATGCGTGTACACGTGTGATGGTGAAGTACATTCGATTCGTTGACGAGAACGCGTAAAAACAGACACTGTAAATATGTATAAGCGGTTAAATGTAATAATAATAACACATCGAAATTTGTAACCCCCCTCCCTCTCCTCTCCTCTTCTCTCTTCTCCTCTTCACTTCTCTCTTCTTCTCTTCTCTCCTCTTCTCTCTTCTTCTCTTCTCTCCTCTTCTCTCTTCTTCTCTTCTCTCCTCTTCTCTCTTCTCCTCTTCACTTCTCTCTTCTCCTCTTCTCTTCTCTCTTCTCCTCTTCTCTTCTCTTCTCTTCTTCTCTTCTCTTCTCTCTTCTCCTCTTCTCTTCTCCTCTTCTCTTCTCTCTTCTCCTCTTCTCTTCTCTCTTCTCTCTTCTCTTCTCTTACTTTTCTTCTCTCTTCTCTCTTCTCTTCTCTTACTTTTCTTCTCTCTTCTCTCTTCTCTTCTCTTACTTTTCTTCTCTCTTCTCTCTTCTCTTCTCTTACTTTTCTTCTCTCTTCTCTCTTCTCTTCTCTTACTTTTCTTCTCTCTTCTCTCTTCTCTTCTCTTACTTTTCTTCTCTCTTCTCTTCTCTTACTTTTCTTCTCTCTTCTCTCTTCTCTTCTCTTACTTTTCTTCTCTCTTCTCTCTTCTCTTCTCTTACTTTTCTTCTCTCTTCTCTCTTCTTCTCTTCTCTTACTTTTCTTCTCTCTTCTCTTACTTTTCTTCTCTCTTCTCTTCTCTTACTTTTCTTCTCTCTTCTCTTCTCTTACTTTTCTTCTCTCTTCTCTCTTCTCTTCTCTTACTTTTCTTCTCTCTTCTCTCTTCTTCTCTTCTCTTACTTTTCTTCTCTCTTCTCTCTTCTTCTCTTCTCTTACTTTTCTTCTCTCTTCTCTTACTTTTCTTCTCTTCTCTTCTCTTACTTTTCTTCTCTCTTCTTCTCTTCTCTTTTCTTCTCTCTTCTCTCTTCTTCTCTTCTCTTCTTTTACTTTTCTTCTCTCTTCTCTTCTCTTCTTTTACTTTTCTTCTCTCTTCTTCTCTTCTTTTCCCTTGTCTCCTTTTATTTTTAAGTCCTTGATCAGCAACTAAAATAAATAAATAAAATAAAATTAATTAATTATTATATGATTTTGTGTTGTGATGATGAATTCCTTTTGATTCATGTGTCAATGTATAATAATAATAATAATATTAATAATAATAATAATGTCATACATTCACTACGCAATAATATTAATATTAATAATAATAATAATAATAAGAAAAAAAAAATGTCTTTCCTATTTAAAAAAAAATAATGTATGAATGTGTTTGTTTGTGAAAATAAATAATAATTAAATAAATCGATAATGACGAAAATTCATTTCTCATTCAATTCACTCTCAAAAAAATGAAAAAATTTTAAAATGTACTTACTTGTTGGAATTTTTTAACATCCTCTCAAAGTCTCCTCTTTCTGATTCCGTAGTGCTGCTGTTGCTGCTGCTTTCGAAGAATGTGAGCCTTCCCACGTAGTGTAATCTCCTGTACGTTTTCTTCTGAGAATCTTCTTCAAATTTTCTTTTCTTTGAGTGTGAAATGGCTTCCAGTCTTCCCACGATGATCGGAGCACTCTTTCTGTCTTTACTTTCCCCACATCCTGACTATTTCTATCTCTTCCATCTTTTTCTATTTGCTTCTTTTTGCTGTATGATGTTTTCTTTCCCGCCGGTAAGGAGACTTGCATTAGCTTGCAATATTTTTTGGAATTATGTCCCACGATGAATTCCGGTTTGCTGAATTCAGTGCCAAATGTAGCCAAATGTCCGTCCTCTCTTCTTATTAATCTCTGAAGCGTTCCCTCTTTTTAAATATTGTCCTTGTAGCTGTTTCTGTTCCCACTTGTCCTTTAATTTCTTCTGAAATTGAGTCTCTACCCGATTTCTCAAGAGTAAATGCACAATGTTGGTGATAACGTGATTCCCTGGATGGTTTCTTCTTTTATATTCAAAATCTTCTTCAGGTTTCCTCTTGTAGAATGTGACATGGCCCCCCAATGCTCCCACGATGACTGGAATAGTTTCTGTTTTCGCTCTCCCCACATACACTTCTTTTGTTCTCTTCTTTGGCTGTCTGGTGTTTTTTTCTGCCAGCACGAAGACTTCGATTAGCTTGCACCATTTTTCGGAATTATGTCCCACGATTATATCCGGTTTGTTGAATTCAGTGCCAAATGTAGCCAAATGTGCGTGCTCTTCTTATTAATCTCTGAAGCGTTTACTCTTTTTAAATATTGTCCTTGTAACTTTTTCTGTTTCCACTTGCCCTTTAATTTCTTCTGAGATTGGGTCTCTACTCGATTCCTCAAGAGTAAATGCTGTTTGTGATAACGATGTTGGTGATAACGCAATTTCCTGGATGGTTTCTTCTTTTAAATTCTTCAAAATCTTCTTTAAATTTTCTTTCATTGAATGTGGCATGGCTCCCAATGCTCCCACGATGATCGGAATCGTTTCTGTTTTTGTTCCCCACATCCTGGATATTTTTATCTCCCCACTTCCATCCTTTTCTATCTCCTTCTTTTTGCTGTCTGTTGTTTTTTCTGCCGGCACGAAGACTTCGATTAGCTTGCACCATTTTTTTTCGGAATTATGTCGCAGGATGATATCTAGTTTGTTGGATTCAGTGTGGATTTGTTGATCATACAGAACTGTGCGTGGATCTGCTGTTGTAACCAGGATTGGAATGTAGTTGTACCACTTCTTGTGTAATTCATCCATTTCATATTCACGACTGATATTTCAGTGGAGATATTGACAAATTTTATTGTGCCTCTCCAGATATTCATGTTTTTCCAATGTCGGACAACCGCAGATTAAATGATCGATTGTTTCCAATTGTGATTGAACAATACCTTCTTGTTGGGCTTTGATAATTATCTTCTTACAGTTATGAGTCCTTCTCCTATCTCTTTTTCTTTATTTTCTTGGACGATTTGCTTTTCTCTTCTTAGCACTCCTCTTTTTCTGAATTTTTCTTCCATTAGCACTGCTTGGACCAAGATGGGATGCTGTTAATGAGATACCATGTATTTTCCCATTCCAATAATGGCATTCTGGTGTGCCGCTTCTATTTGTCTTAATCCTCTTCCTCCATCTTTCCTGCTGACGTACAATCTATCCACATCAGCCTTTGGATGTAACGCACCATTCATAGTTAATATTTTCCTTGTCCTTCCATCCAGGTTTTTGTGATTTCTTCTTTTGTCCAGTCTACAAGTCCAAAACTGTATTCTATTACTGGAATTGCTGACGTGTGTGACTGCTGGCGTTTATCTTATTTCTTCCATTCAGTTCCGACTGTAGCATAAGCCTCAATCTTCTAAAATATTCTTTCTTCAGTCGAGTTTTGATTTCCTTGTTGGCTATCCCAAAATTTTCTTCAATCCCCAGATATTTTTATGTTGATCCAGGGGGTCCAGTTCTTTAATAACTTCCTCTTCAAAATCTTCTATATGTTCTTTCTTCTTTAACTTTCCACTGACGAATAGTGACTCTGGCAAATTTTTCCAAATCAAATTTCATGTTTACGTGAGAGGAGAAAGTTTGTACCATCCTTAATATTTTCTTCATTTCTTCTTCACTCTTCGCATATAGCTTCAGATCATCCAGGTACAACATATGAGTGATTTTCCAGCTTTCTGTCGTTAATTCCAAGCCTTGATCCCTCGCATTTAACAATTTCGACAGGGGAATTAAGCTTATACAGGACAGGAGTGGCGACAATGAATCCCCTTGAAAAATTCCTCTTTTTACAAATATTTTTCTAGAAAAGTATTTTTCCACTTCCAGTTGGGTGCACCAATTTTTCATACTCTTCTTCTCGCAGAACGCTGTCATTTTTGTGTTGACTTTATATATTTTCAATGCCTCAATAATCCATTCGTGATCAGGCACACTATTCGAAGGCTGTCTTTTGATAGTCAATCCATGCCATGCATAAATTCTCCCTCTTTTGTTTTCCACAGTCCATTTCATCAATTTATTTATTAATAAAAACTCCTTGCAGCCGTAAGACCCTTTTCTGCATCCATATTGTTCAGGAGGAAAAATGTTATTCTTTTCCAAGTGTCCACCATAAATCTTTTAACTTCTGTAGCTCCTCATTTTTTTTTGGCAACAAATACGTTTTTCCCGTGGTTATCCATTCTGGCATTTCTTGCTGTCCCATGATTAACTTTTTAATACACATTTATAAATACTTGTAAGATTCTTAATCCAAAAGTTTTGTACTCTATCTAATCCGAGATTACTATTATCATTATCATTTTCGAACACGATGAGTTTCGAATGTATGCACGTGTTGCTGAGTTTTACAATTTTTTCTTAAATCGTGAAGTTGCTTTAAATATTTCAATGAATGTGACTCCGGCTCCGGCTCCCAGTGCTCCGACGATGATCTTTGAATAGTTTCTGACTATTTCCATCACTAAATTCCTGCATTTTCCCCTCGTTTTGACTGGATCAGATACTTTAATTAGTTTCCACCATTTTTCAAAATTATTCTTCTCAGGATGACAACCGATTTGTTGGCAACACTGTCGAATTTGTGAATTTCTTGATCGTAGAAATAACAGTAGGGCTCCCATTTTCAAAAACAATCCTCCATTTTGAATTTTTCCATTTCCATTTGTCCTTTAGCCTCTTCTGAGAAGATTGGGATTCGTCGTCTTCTTATGTTATTATTATTATTATTATCATTATTTATACACGTAAAATAAATTCGAGTATTTTTTTATGTTTAACTTTAACGCATTGCCGAAAAAATAAAAATAAATTTAAAAAGAAAAATAGAAAATATTATTTTTAAAAATATTATTAAATAATTTTACAATAATTGTTGTTACATCGTAAAAAAAAAATTACAATTCTACTATTATTAATTGTAATAATAATAATAATAATGATAATAATAAAATTTTTAATTTAAATTAAATCGGCAACGTTCATGGGCATTTCGTCGATTTGCGTGGAATAATACTGTTCGATGTCTCTCAATATCCTGATGTCGTCACTTTTGACAAAATTTATGGCGACACCTTTTCTACCGAATCTACCCGATCTACCAATTCTATGAATGTACAATTCTCTGTTGTTTGGCAAATCGTAATTTATAACCAGAGACACCTGAAATGATATTCGTTACAATTATTATTATTATTATTTTTAATTTTAAAATGGATCGTAGTGAGTGAAAGCAATGGAAAATAAAATGATTTGTTTGTGGATTTTGTTGGTACCTGTTGAACATCAATTCCTCTTGCCCAAACATCTGTTGTGATGAGTACTCTGCTCAAACCAGTTCTAAATTCTTTCATAATTGCATCTCTTTCCTTTTGAGGCATGTCACCGTGCATGCAAGAAACTGTAAAATTTGCTTCTCTCATTTTTTCAGTAAGCCAATCAACCTGAATAATCAAAGAATGATTGAATGAATTGTGATGAAGACAATAAATAATATGAATCGAGAGAAAATGATTTTTTAAAAATTACCTTTCTTTTCGTGTTGCAAAATATAACAGCTTGAGTTATTGTCAATGTATCGTACAAGTCGCAAAGTGTATCAAATTTCCACTCTTCTCTTTCGACAGCGACAAAAAATTGTTTTATACCTTCAAGAGTCAATTCATCACGTTTGACAAGGATTCTAATTGGATCCGTCATAAATTTTGATGTCATTTCCAATATTTCATGTGGCAATGTGGCAGATATTAAAACAACTTGAGTCGCAGGAGGTAAGTATCTGTACACATCATATATTTGCTCTTTGAATCCTTTGTTTAACATTTCATCAGCTTCATCCAACACCAACATTTTGATAAATCTCGTACGTAGTACTCTACGACGAATCATGTCAAAAACTCTTCCAGGAGTACCAGAAATGACGTGTTGACCGTAATCTAGTTTTCTTATATCTTCTCCTAAATTCGTACCACCAATGCAAGCATGGCATTGAACGTTCATGAAATCTCCCAATGCAAGTATAACTTTTTGAATTTGAACAGCCAATTCTCTTGTGGGTGACAAACAGAGTACTTGCGTTTCTCTAACGGTCGTGTCGAGTGATTGAATTATAGATATTGAAAACGTAGCAGTTTTACCAGTACCCGATTGTGCTTGTGCGATCACGTCGCGTCCCTTCACAATGGGTTTTATGGAACGCTGTTGTATTGCCGATGGTTTTTCAAATCCGTAGGCATAAATACCTCGTAAAAGTTCCTCTCTGAGGCCCATTCTATCAAATGTTGGAATGACTTCGACATCTTCACTCGTTTCGAACTCCACAAGCGATAAATCCTCGGTAGCCGAATTAGACTGATTCTTCACCACATACCTCACATCCGCCATTTTGAATTAAAGTGTTACACATTTGCACGCTCAGAAAACAACAATGTATCAATTCGTCTGGTTGCTTTTTACACAAATACATTTCGCAACAAGACTATTTGTTTTGAATCGAAATTTTAAAACAAAAATTTTTAAATATGTTTAGAACAAATACATTTTTTAAAAAAAAGTTACAGCGAAAAACGTTTTTTTTTTTTTTTTTATATCAAAATTAAGCTCAAAATTATTTCTTTTTTTTTTTCATTTTAATACAACGGTATTTTAATTTTAAAAAAATATTATTATCCCTTATGTATATGACAAATTTCATATCTGAGGCATAATTCCTATATTTCAGCCTTTTTTCTTTTTCTTCGGCTTTACATCAATTAATTTACATTAATTATTTTCAGAGTTATGCCTCAGAATGATGTTAATGATCTTGCGGTACTGTGCAAGATCCATTTTTTTTTTAAATTAAAAATTAATCTGAAAAAAAAATATTATGCTAGGGGTAATGAAAACATTTGCGTTGGAATTATTGATGACGTATTTCCGTTTTTTCTGCGACCACAGTCCGTTATTTTTCATTTCAAATGATTCGAACGCGATGAATGGGAGTTTTGTTTTTTTTTTTTAAACGTTGAAAAATAGAAAATTTTTGGGTTTTTAACGTTCGTGATAACTTTATCGAATAGTTTTTATAAAGAAAAAAGTTAGTGAAAATAAAATAAAAAGTGGAATGTGTGAAAAAACGTAAATAAATATCTTTTTTTTTCGTATAAAAAAAATCGCGAGTGAATCTTAAATATTAATGATATTTTACGCGAATGTTTTTTTTTTTTTTAAAATAATTTCTAGTTTTATATTATTAATTTACCCTTTTTATTTATTTATTTGAAAATTTTTAACAAACGTAAGTGTAATTATATCCTTAGCGTTTTTTTTTTAAATAAAAAATCTTAAATTATTATTACGTAACACGTTACGAATACGGAGTCGAATTACATTTTTTTCTTCTTCTTCTTCTTTTGTCTAAGATTTATTAATTAACATTAAATTACATACCATTAAGTTTAAGCAAAAAAAAAAAGAAAAAAAAGTTTTGCTCGAATTGATAAAATAAAACTTAAATAATTCCATTAGTTTATTTTTTGTTAATTCCTCTGGCTAAGAAAACAAAATGGCCGCCTTACGCGTAAATCAATAACGAATTTTTATCGTCATCAAAAACCGTCGATCGTTTTTCCTTTTGTTTTTTATTTATTCCAAATTACTTATCGATCATATTTATTTGCCTTAACGTCTCATCAGTCATCATTATCATTATTATCACTATTATTAATATTAATTTAACGAATTTATTTTTATCTTGAGTGAGAATACAATTTTTTCAGTTCAGATAACAAAATTTGAATAACTAAAACAAACTAAAAAATTATCATTATTATTATTATTATTAGTATCAATGTTTATCGGATTATTTCCTCATAAAAATAATAATAATAATAATAATAAAATACTTTTAAAATAACTTAAATAAAAAAAAAATTTATTGACATTGTTTTTACATTGAGAGCAAAAATCGATTATTTTAAACTATTTTTATCGCATAATCACAGAATTTAATTTTAATTACAGATCATCATCATCATCATCATTATCATTATCATCGTTATTAAAAATAAAATGAAAAGTAAACGACTTGGAAAAATATTTCGTCTGCAACATTTTCATACGTTTTAAAGTTTTCTATTTATGTGAAGAAAAGAGTTTATTTCTGGGAGACTCGGGTAAGTTTTTATTTTTTTTTTTTTCGAAGGGGGCATCGGGGGGCACACGAGGCGGAAACACAAAATGGGGGGAGGGGGAAAAAGTCAATCGATCCGACGATTTAATTTTTTACGTGTGCGCGCTATAAAAAAAAATTTTGCCTTCCTGTTGTGCGTCGTGAGAGAGTCACGACGTGACTCTGGACCTGTGCCTGAGAGTTCTCAATTTGATTTCTTTTGCCATGGGTCTTATTAGGAGAGCGAGAGCTGCAACCAGAGACGCCATTAAAAAATAAAAAACTCTATCCCATCCCGTGGGAGACAACAAACCGGCAAAAAGTGGACCCACGGCAGCACCTGAAAACATTAACGTTAAGGAAAAATCATCGACTGATACCAACAGGAAAATTTTTTTCTGGTTTTTCTACGACTCCCACCTATGGATCCGGTTCCGTCAATGATCGCGGTGACCGTCGCCAAAGCTTTCGAACTTCCCTGCAGACTTTCGTGAGTTCCCAAATCTGCCGAAACTGCTGTCGTTATGAGAGCGTAGGGACCGTTAACGAAAGCTCCCGACAAGACCAACAGTATTATGTTTATCATTTTTCCCATGCTACCGTATAATTCGTAAATGAAAAGCTGGAATTACATTTGCAAAAGGTATTACGATCGGGTCACGTGATCAATCATAACAACAACAATAATACTACAACGTACTAAAGGCACGGCCAATGTTAACATTGTCACGCAAACCGTCGCCGACATGTTTGTCGCATCCGTGACGACTCCGGCAGCGATCGCTCCTACGATTCCTCCGACATCGAACAGTGTTGACAATTCGGCACTCAAACTCGGACCGAAATTAGTCGAAGAACTTATGTAATAAGGCAACCAATATAAAAATGTATACGAGACGAGTTTTGAAAAGAAAAGAGACATCGAATATTCGACAACGCCCTGCGAGTAACGGAAGAAAAAAAAAAAAAAATGTCAAAACTATCGAATCGAATCGAATCGTATCGATCGATCGATCGATACAAAAAAAAAAAAAAACAAAATCTTTCTTATCTTACCGGAATTTTTAAAGCATCCAAAAATCCTATGGCTTGCTCATTTTGATTTATCAATATCGGACTTTTTTCCGTCGCGTTTGTTCTACCCTGAAACAAACAAACAAACAAACAAACGAATGTATAAAAAACGGAAAGAATAACGTTTATCTATTAGCGAAACTTTTTTTTTTTTTTTTTTTTTTTGCGTTTTTACCCCCTGCAAGTTTAAAAATTTTTTTTAAAAAACTCTCCCAATTAATTATTTTGATTAAAAAAAAAATGAAAACCGGAACATGCAAATATTCCAAATAATAACAAATAACGACAAGCCCCCATTTTCATGTAGTAATAATAATGATAATATTAATAATAATAATAATAATAAATACAATTGAAATCTTACTCTTCTATTATATGGAATCGAAACGGACGATAAGATTCTTGTAGCTTGTCCATCATCTTCGTAATCGCTCGATGTCGATGATGATGTTGAATCTTCTTTCTGTGGAACTGACATGTAATTACTGACATTGATGCCCTTGAGTGAGTAAAATGCGCAAGTGACAAAAAATAAAAATTAATACGTGTTATTAATACGACAAAAATACTGACAATTCCAACATGCGACACAAAAAATCAAATGATTATAAGGGAAAACGGAGGGGAGAGGAGGAAAGGGGGGGAAGAGAGAGAGAGAGAGAGAGGAAATCAACAAAAAAAAAAAAGCGACAATTTTTAAAATAAACACACCACTCATAACAAACAAACAAAATTTAAAAAAAAAAAAAAAAATAAGAATAATTTTCCCACTTACTGCTCTATTCATAGTTTCCGGTTGTGAAAATCCTATATTTTCCGGATGAGCAATTAAAAAAAGGAAAACGATAACGCCGAAAACGGCCATTAAAACCCCAGGAACCATAAAACTGTATCCCCAATTTTTTTCAACATAATATCCAGCTATTAATGTACCCACAATGTTCCCTATGGATGTGTGAGAATTCCAAATTCCAAATATGAGACCTATAATAAATAATGAAGTCATACACCTCTTACGAATAAACAGAGAGAGAGACAAGATAGGAAGATGAGAAAGTGGGAAAGAGATGGGAAAAGGGGAGCAAATAAGTATCAACCTCTTGTATACTGCTTTAATTACCTCTGTTTCCTTTTCCGAACCAGTGACCTAAAATTGTAACGACAGCCGGCCATCCTGTCGTCTGAAATATTCCCATTAATATTTGAACACAAACAAAATAAGCCATCGAATGAATATTTAACGTTTTAGCTAAACCGAATAAATAACAGAACAATGCTGAAAACAACATTCCAATCGATAGGAAATATCTGAGATTCACTCTTTCAGCAACAATCCCGCTAAAAATAATCAAAAAAAAAAAAAAAAAATTATTATAATTTCCATAAACAGTAAAAATCCCCAAAATTGATAACATGTTTCATTACCTTGCAAACATTGTAAAAGCATATGCGAATAAAAAAGCAGAATCTAAAGCTCCGAAAAGCTTGCCAGCATCTTTACCATCTGTTACAAGAGAAAAATGAATCAATAATATAGACAATAACATTCAATTTGATAGTATGATAAATGAGGTAACTCACCGAAAGGTGCCCAACCACTACAATTACTATTATCAAAAATTAAATTATCTTCTAAAACATGACTACTACTAGAACAATTAGGATGTAAAACATTTTTCACTACACTAATTGGTTTCCTTGTAAAATGATAACTCATATATGTTATGTATGTTAAAAATAAAACTAAACCTCTGTGCCAGACATATTTACTCCTTAAATTCCACTGACATTTTCTCGTCATTATTTTCAATAATTTAATACCCAATGGTAAATTTTTCGTATTTGCCATTATACTTAATTATTTATTTATTGTGCACTAAAACAAACAAACAAACAAACAAACAAACATAAAAACTTTATATTTTTATTATTTTTATCTGTAAAAAAAAGGCAAAAATAATCGAATTGATTAAGTTAAACTAAAACCATTATCAGCGAGTTAATTATCGTAAAAAAAATTTTAATTACTTTTTTAAGCGAAACTGCTTTTACCGAACATGAAGAAAATAAAAAAATGTTTGTGTGTGTATGTTTGAAAATCAAATTTTTAACTTTTTCTATTGATTATTATCATCATCATTGTTTTTTTTATAATAAATTAAATTAATTATTCGGTGAGATTTAATTATATTGAATAAATAAATAGAAAAAAAAAAAAAACTATTTTTAATGAAATGTTTTTCTTACCGATTGAATTTAAACTTATTTAAAAATTATTAATCGTTATGTATTCAGATCTATTAATTGTGTGTACATTACAGCTTTCGTCACCTACAAAAAAAAAATAAAAAAAAATAAAACGAATTTGATTGATTTTCAACAAAAAAAAAAAAAAATTAATTTATAAAGAAACGTCGACCATATTGTGATTGACACGAATTTATCGTGTAATTATTAACGATACGTCTCGAAAATTTTTTTTACAAAAAAAAATGCAAAACAAGCAATAATTATTCAGAAAGCCTTTTTTTTTTTTTTTTTTTATTAACGTTTGATTTGACATTTTAATTTTTTTTTTTTTTATGGTTAAAAAAACGTACGTGAAATTGTCAAGAGAAATAACAAAAAAAATTAAACTAATTAATCACGTCCGAATGATTTTATTCAATAAAAAAAAATAATAAACGTCGACAACGTTTCCTTTTTTTTTTTTTTTTTTTTATTTGACGTTAGTGACAGATCACCAAAAAAAAAAAATTAATTTACTGACGTTTAGTTATAACAACCCGGAAGAAAAATAATTAAAATTATTTATTAAACGATAAAAAATTATTAACGTGTATTCGATTTGATATTTATAATTTAAAAAAATTACCTTTTTAAAATACATTTAAAAAATAAATAAATAAATATAAACGCATATTATTTAATTACAAAAAAAAAAAAAAAAATTATAAATAACGACAAATGTAAATAACTAAAAATCCGCCATTTTGATTTTTTTTTTCGTACACGAAAGCCAACCTTGAAATTAATTTTTTTTTTGATTTCTGAACGGACTTTCTCAACGTTAAACTCAGTGAGGTAGTAGAGGTTCGTTCATTCATTCATTCATCGTTCGTCGAATGATTTTTATTTTCTCATTTCAATTAAATTACATCCAATCTTTATTAAAAAATTTTTATTTACTTATTCGAATGATTAGTCAGCCGACGATTGATTAATTAATTAATTAAATTATTAATTTTTTGTTTCAGGTGATAGAAAATGACATAAACAAAGAAAAACTAAAAAAAAGAAAATTAAAAAATTATAACCATTTCTCTCTCCCTCCCTCTTCGTGATTAATTTTTTTTTTTTTTTGAACGAATTCCTTGGATTTGACGACAATGATGATGATGATGATGATAAATTTCAATGACGTTTTACGTAATGATAATGATAACATCAGTTAATAAATAAATAAATAAATAAATAATAATAAAAATAATAAAAGTTATAAATAATTTGGCAAATGTTAGAAAAAAATTTTTTTTAATATAAATTTGTAAATTTTAGGTTAATAGGTTAATCACAAAACGATAAATAATAATAATAATAATAATAATAATAATAATAATAATAATAATAATAATAATAATAATAATTACGTAATAACGTCGTCGTTTTTTTTTTTTATATTTATTTTAATGATTATCAACAAATTATAACGAATTCGTTTTCCAATATAAATAAAAAATTTATTATTAGTAATTTTAATTTTAATAACGTTTAATTTAATTTATACTATTATTATCATTATTATTATTATTATTGAAAAATTCACCTGTTGTATTATTGACTCCTAACGTATCATATCGTACTAAATTTTTTCCTTTTTTTTTTTTTGTAACTTAATTTAATGACTCCTTTTGTATAATTTCCCTTGTTTTTATCAAATTAAGATAAGGCATATTAGTTTCTTTTTTTTTGTTAATGATATATAAAAGTGATTAAATAATAAATCTTGCGAAGATTTAAATCAAACAAAATCCATTGTTAATAAACAATAAACTTTTTCTTTGTTTTTTTGTTCTTTTTTACCAAGCGAAAAAATGAATTTGTAACAATTTTATTCCCCAAAATTATTTTTATGCGTATAATATAATAAATTCACGCACATTGATTTTATTTATTTAATTTATTAATAACTATTTATTTTTTATATTAAAAATTTGTTTGTTTAAAAAATAAAGATGAAAGATTTAAAAAACAAAACAAAAAAATTTTTTTTAAAAATCTTCTCTCAAAATTATGTAAACAAAGACTACTAGCGACACCTATCGGATTATCATTGAACTTTTTTTTTTGATCATTTTACGTCTTACATTTTAATATGCAAGATTTATTTTAACGGTTGCTAGGCAACGTGTTTTTTTAATTACTTAATTCTTTTCTTTTCTTTTTTCTCATTGGCTAATTTTTTTTAAATCAACCAATCAGATTTTAGTAAAATTTCCGCCATATTTTTTTCCGCTTTCATTTTTCTTTTTGACTTATTCATCATTAAATATTCAAATTTCATTTCAAAAAAAAGAGAAAAAAAAAAAAAATTTCCTTATTAACAATTCGCTACGATTTGACAAATGTCGTCATTATTACGTTGATAAAAAACATAATTAATTATTTATAAGTATACAAAACAAAACAAAAAAAAGAAATTTTCTTTTTGTTTTTTTTTTTTTTTTTTTTTTTATACAATACAAATCTATTTATTTCTTTTTAAAAAAAAATTTAATTTCAATTTACATTCAATAATAATAATAATAATAATAATAAATCACGTATTTATATATATATATATATAACAAAGTGTAACAATTTTTTAAAATCAATACATATATATTGTTATGATCCCGTACTCAATATTCACATTTTCAACTTTTTATAAACAAAAGACTGGCGACGAACTCAAATTGTTCTTCTTTAGAAGCGAAGCTTCTAAAGACTCCTTCTTTTATTTTATTTGCAAGTGTTTGCTCGAACATTCGAAACAGTTGACTGACGAAAGACCAAAGTAATATAGGCAAGCTACACAGCTTGGCGTTGGTTCATTTTGATTTTTAGTCTAGCTGTAATAAGTTCTTGTCTATTAATATTAGTTTTGTTAGTGATAGTTTTAAGTGCTTGTTCATTACTTACAAAAATAAAGAACGAACATAACATATTAAAAATTTTGGCGCAGTCGTTTTTTTTTTCTTTTTCTGAACGACATATATTTCTTCTTTTAAACTATGTAAATACGTATAAATATTTTTATTCGATATAAATTTACTGAATTTCTACTTTTTTTACGCTTAAAATCGTATTCTCGCGTTGTTCGAAATAATGCTATTAATAATGATAATAATTATATGTAAATCGTGATAACACGATTATAATGGAATCTAATATAATTTTTGAAGGTATTCGTCGAACAAATAAACGTGCAAACTGTTTTGCTTGCTGCTCGCCATTAAATTTTTCAAATCGTTTGTGTGTCCCGATAATTCCCGTATGGTATCCCTGAATTTGTGCACGAATTCGTTTTGAACGTGGGATTGAACTTCGGCATCTTCAACGGCTTGAGTGTGAATTCTATTCGCTTCCGTTGCAAACGATTTCTGTAATTCGATATATATAAAAAAAAAATTAAAATTAATAACAATAATAATAATAATTATTATTATTATCATTATTTAAATTGTAATTTAAACTTTCCAATTATTATTAGCCTTAACTTTTCGCACAATTCAAAAAAAAATCGTGCAATCGAATTGCAATCGATTAGTAACACGATATATTTGTTTGTTTGTTTGTTTGTTTGTTGT